CATCCTTTTAATTATGTTTGAAATTATGAACATTGCTCAACATCATGAAAATTAAACCTTATTTTCAATAAGCAATCCTGAAAAATATTTGGGGGTGCTTAACTTTTTTCCAGGTGTATATATAAAAAAGGTGTTTGTTTTTTTTTTCGTTATTTGATTTAATCAGAATCAGCTTTCCTGAGTTAATTACTTGCGTTTGACCAAATTACATAAAGCTTTAGCTTGAAAATCAAGTAAATAAATCCAAGATACGCAACCGAGTCAAAAATTACAAAACCAATTTTGATTCTTAAAAGTGAAGAAACATATAAAGATGCATAAAAAAAACTAATTCAACATGACTAAAAAAAGAACTAATTCAGCATGACCAAAAAAAGGAACTAATTTAGCATGACTAAAAAAAAGAACTAATTCAGCGTGACCAAAAAAGAACTAATTCAGCATGACTAAAAAAGGAACTAATTCAGCATGACTAAAAAAGAACTAATTCAGCATGACTAAAAAAGGAACTAATTCAGCATGACTAAAAAAGAACTAATTCAGCATGACTAAAAAAGGAACTAATTCAGCATGACTAAAAAAAGAACTAATTCAACATGACCAAAAAAGTAATTAATTCAGCATGACTAAAAAGAACTAATTCATCATGACTAAAAAGAACTAATACATCATGACTAAAAAAGATCTAATTCGGCATAACTAAAAAAAGAACTAATTCAGCATGACTAAAAAATAGAACTAATTCAGCATGAATAAAAAAAACTAATTCAGCATGACTAATAAAGAAGTAATTCAGCATGCCTAAAAAAGGAAGTAATTCACATGACTAAAAAGAACTAATTCATCATGACTAAAAAGAACTAATACATCATGACTAAAAAAGAACTAATTCGGCATAACTAAAAAAGAACTAATTCAGCATGACTAAAAAATAGAACTAATTCAGCATGAATAAAAAAACTAATTCAGCATGACTAATAAAGAAGTAATTCAGCATGCCTAAAAAAGGAAGTAATTCACATGACTAAAAAGAACTAATTCATCATGACTAAAAATAACTAATTCAGCATGACTAAAAATAACTAATTCAACATGACTAAAAAAGAACAAATTCGGCATGACTAAAAAGAACTAATTCAGCATGACTAAAAATAACTAATTCAACATGACTAAAAAAACAAATTCGGCATGACTAAAAAGAACTAATTCAGCATAACTTAAAAAAGAACTAATTCAGCATTATTAAAAAATAACTAATTCAGCATGACATCTTCATATACCTTCATTCCTTTCAAAGTTATGATGTGTTTTACTTATAAAAATGATTGTGGTAAGGTTATATAGAAAGGTTAAAAAATAGAGAAATGCGAATCCGCTACCTTCAGTTTGTTTGTTTTGTTTTAAATTTCGCGCAAACTTACACAAATGTTATCTGCGTTAGCCATCCCTTATTTCGATGTGATATGCTAGAGGGAAGACAGCTAGTCAACGCCACCCACCGCCAAATCTTGGAATACTCTTTCCAGAACAAATAGTGGGATTTGAATTGTCACTATTATAACGCACCTACTGTCCCAAAGTGGTGGTAACAGAACACGAACGATGCAAAATTTGGTTCGACAGACTGGGGCGCTCAATGTTCGTAATCATCTTTCATACAACCAAGAACTTGCCATTTTGTTAACCGTAGACTATCTGAAACGTTAATAATCGCAGTCATTATTGGTGTGCTCATTTAGGAAAGTAATTCATTTTACTCTTCCAGTTACTCCCCCTTTCGTTGAAATGGTGACTTAAATTGGTTGTTTTTCAGCAAAGTAAACAATGTAAAGTCAACAAATCGTCGGTTTAATCTACCTTCACTAGCTCTCACCAACAATCGCTTTTAAGTGTGCACAGCCTTTGTCTGCTTAATCTTTCACATAAGAATCTAATCATCTTTATTTAGTAAAGGCAATACGCTTCCTGCTCTACATGTAACACACCCTAGCGAGTGATATACGTAATGATTGTGCAGAGGACAAAACCCTGTTATATCACATCAAATTATCACTTCCCTTCCGCTTTTTACGGCAAACCAAATTAAACTAAACTCCATAAATATGTCACGGGGCCTGCATAAAGAAGCGAAACGGTGTCTTTTTATGAGAGATGAATACGAAAGACAGCTTAGCTTCTGTATTTTACAACTTTAAAATAGCTCAGGCGTGAATGTGACTTGATTACTTACGCCTCCAAAGAGAATTAACCTCTATAACAAGATTATGTTAAACAGAAATAGAATTATTCTCGTACTCACGACCAAGTCACTCATCTTTTTTCAGTACCTTCATTTTAATAGTTGGTTTAAGAGGATTTGGGCAACATTGAGACTTGTTCAATCTGGTAAACAAATATCACGTGAAAGTTCATGTGGCTTAGAATATATATATATATATATATATAATTATGTTGAACTTTCCTTCAAGGATAAGTTACAAATAAAGTACCGATTTTTTTTTTTTTTTTACTTTTTGGTAAAAGGAGAAAGATAAAAAAAATGTTCTAACATGATTAACAGAAGAGGGGAAGTATAGTGAGGAAATAGTAAATATACACTGTGTTATTTTGAAAACACTCTCATTGAAACACACGCTCTTGGAACCGGAGTTTGTTTCAAACGTTGTCTATTAGCGTCACAGAGTTTTGTTTGTTTGTTTGAAGTTAAGCACAAAGCTACACAATGGGCTATCTGTGCTCTGCCCATCAAGGGTATCGAAACCCGGTTTCTAGCGTTGTAAGTCCGCAGACATACCACTGTGCCACTGGGGGTGAGCGACTATTTTATCTGTCCAACGGTGGCTCAGAGGTAAGCTTTGGGGCTTGTAACCCAAAAAAGCAAGGGTTATAAACAGCGCAGATGACCCACTGTGTAGCTTTGAGCTCAAAACAGACAAACATGAAAAGATTGTTTCAACATCTTCGACAAAGACCAGTTTGGATATCCTTATAACAGGATAGTTATAGCTAAGTCATCCGGGTAGTTCATACGTTATACGTCACAATAAGAGCGATAATAGCTTTTATGAGATTTTTATTGGTTCTAAGTCGATTTTCAGTAAGAAGAGTATATGATAGCATTTCAACTATACTCTACTGTTATGCACCACTTCCGACGAGGCTTTTCGCTCAATACCAAAACTAAGCAAGACGGCTGGGTTTTCAAACCTACACAAAACAGCTGTTCATATTTTTTTAAAGAAGCTAAGTAGTTTTGTATGTTAAATGTGTGTTTTATAGCTTTTTTTTCTCGTTTTCTTTTTTCAGCACATTACCCAAAAGACGATAAAAGTGGCGATCGGATCATTTTGGGCTGTCTCGTTGCTCATGGTGTGTTTACCATTCATGGGATTCGGACTGTATTACGACAGCAACGCCCCGACGCGGCGTTATACATGTGCTCGCTACCGTTTTGCCACGAAAACGGTGGACATTGCTTACGCTTACTTCATGTTTATTTTTGGCATGGTTATGTGTGTGGTCATCGTCATTTGTAACCTCACAGTGGTCACTGTTCTTAGTAAAGTAGGGAAGACCACCAAAGGTCGTATAAGGCGGACGACGATTTCTAGAAACAGCCGAGAGCTTTTCTTCAATCATACCACTCAAGAAGAAATTTCTTTTGCGAAGTTAATGGTGGTTTTATGTGTGTCCTTCCTGGCTTGCTGGGTTCCTCTGATGGTAAGTAACCTTTGCTCGGTATTGAGACATTGAATTTCTGAAGTATTTTTAATGCAACGAACTAGTTTTGTTTTACATTCCAAGATCTAATTTATTGTAGTGATTTAGATAATCATTTTAAAAATCAAACAGCGCGTATGTTATAAAGTAGGTTGTAGGCACCTTGCGAAGCAGCTTTAAATGCTGGTGCTTTGTTCTATAACCACCACTATGTAGCCTGTTGATGCTGCGCAATTTCCTTATTTGTTAGTTACACTAAAATATAACATACGCGACGCTTGAAAACTCAGAGACAAACATATTGGGATTTAACACAGAGTTATGAAAATGATTAGGTGTATATTTCCATGTTCCGGGTATTAACGTATAACAATAATCAAAGAGTTATGAAAATAATCAGGTGTATATTCCCATGTTCCAGGTATTAACGTATAACAATAATCAAAGAGTTATGAAAATGATTAGGTGTATATTCCCATGTTCCAGGTATTAACGTATAACAATAATCAAAGAGTTATGAAAATGATAAGGTGTATATTCCCATGTTCCAGGTATTAACGTATAACAATAATCAAAGAGTTATAGAAATGAATAGGTGTATATTCCCATGTTCAAGGTCTTAACATGTGATAATAATCAAAGAGTTATGAAAATGATCAGGCGTATATTTCCTTGTTCGAGATTTTAACATATAACAATAATCTAAGTGTATTTACAGCAGAAAGCATGATGTTTTATCTATCTTATATCTGACTATTTTCGGCAGTTCCCAAACAAAACATATTTTTCGAAAGCACTAAAATTCGGGAACTTAGCTTAACGAACCTAATTATCATCAGATTATTGACTTAATCTGATGTCGTCTTTAGTATTCCGCATTTGTTTTCGACCAAACTAATGTGATTAGGCTTCTTACACCAATTAAAGATTGAGTTTATGCAAGTTTAATGTCTCCACGCTATTCTAGATGAATATGAAATTCCTTGTAAACTATTGACAAGAGTCCCTTAAAACTATGATACCTGGAGAATTAAACTATCTCAGATCAGTGAATTAAGATGTGGACTTCCCTGTTTTAGGTCATTTAGTGGTTTTTGTGGATACGCTTGTTTGACTACTTACCCAAGTAGGTATGGATGAAACATATCCTTCTAGTATTATTGAAAAGAGTGGAGTAGAGAGTGTTAAGAACTAAAAATCTGGGTTTACATTTTATCTTGAGTGAAAGTAATTTAACCTATCATCATTCACACGCGCTTTGAACGTCACATATGATGCTCATATGAAGCTCTTTTCTGATCTCATACGTTGAACCAAAACTACCAGTTCTTATTGCCACGTTCACTAGCATCAGCTGCATATACAATATATATGTAGCTGTGTATCATATGGGACACTCAGGTGCTTTAGCATTATGTTCTATGAATCACATGTGATGCACTGGACAGTGATAGGGTTAAAGCAACCAAAAGCTAAAAGAGTATTTATATGCATTACAAGAAATATATTGCACTGGGGCAAAACTCTTAAGTTTCCCAAATAGCGAGAGTTTTAGTATTCAACGAAAGGCCTTCTGGGTAGTGGCTTCCCAGTGGCACAGCGGTATGTCTGTGAAGTTACAACGCTAGAAACCTGGCTTCGATACCCGTGGTGGGCAGAGCACAGATAGCCCATCGTGTAGTTTTGTGCTTAATTACAAACAAACAAACAAACTGGGTGATGAGTGACTCGTAACAGATAAACGCTGCATCTGAAATGTTATTTTTCTAATTCGAAATGACTAATTGACTGAGAGAAGATAATACTTGCAGCCAGTCACTTTTATTAAGCTTAAAAATACTCACTACTTATTCGATTTATATCACTGCAACTGGAGAACATTTCAATGAGGTTTTATTCATTTTCGAAACTTGAAACCGCTGAACAAATAGAAATACCAACTTCAACATTGGATTCCAACATATATACAACTTAAGGTGCTTTTAGTAGCTATATAACACCATATGACAGATATTGTTATCTGTAACATGCTACTGTTATTGCATAATAGATAATTTTTTTTTGGTACACTTTGTGCTTTAAAGACAAATACCTCTAAATATTTCTTTTGAAAATAGGTTAGAAGGAATTCTAGTAATACCAAAACATCAGGAAGTATATATATGAAAATAACGTACACATAGACGTTAATTGCATAACTTGAAAGTTGTTTAAGTAAGTGAGATGAGCTATTTAAGCTCGGGATAATCCTGATCTTTTTATAGATCAGTACATAACGGTTGAGCTTGGAGTCTTTACGATTATTGTCTTTATCTAAAATATAGCAGAAGTTCTTTATTCAACCACATGTTTTGTTTGATGGTTGTCCTGTTGTTATTGTTGTTTTCCTTAATTACATGTTTTGTTTGATGGTTGTCCTATTTTTGTTGTTTTCCCTTAATTTCATGTTTTTTTTGGCTGTCCTGTTGTTGTTTTTTCTTTAATTACATGTTTGTTCGATTGTTGTCCTGTTGTTGTTTTTTCCCTTAATTACATGTTTTGTTTGATGGATGTCCTGTTCCCCCTCCCTTGATTAGATGTTTTGTTTGATGGTTGTCCTGTTGTTGTTTTTCCCTTAATTGCATGTTTTGTTTGATGGTTGTCCTGTTGTTGTTTTTTCCCTTACATGTTCGTTTGTTTTTGGCTGTCCTGTTGTTTTTTCATTAATTAGATGTTTTGTTTGATGGTTGTCCTGTTGTTGTTTTTCCCTTACATGTTCGTTTGTTTTTGGCTGTCCTGTTGTTTTTTCCTTAATTACATGTTTTGTTTGATGGTTGTCCTGTTGTTGTTTTTTCCCTTAATTACATGTTTTGAGTAATTGCTTTTTTAAATGACAAATAACCCCTCAGTTGACCATCATAACGGCCCAGCTGGATCAAGGACGAAAACATAAAGTATTCTACAGAGTTGCTGATATCTGCATGGCTCTGAACTTTATCCTCGATCCAGTGATCTACGTTCTCTCAAGAAGACCACACAGGCGGGACCTGAGGAGCTTAATGAAACCATTTTGTCTCGATTGCTTTCCCCAAATAGAATGGATAACCAGCAATGGGTCTAGAGCGTCTCAGAGGAATAGTGGCTTCCCTTGGAACTTTGGTAGTAAGTTATATTTTTAATAATGACTTCCCTTGGAACTTTGGCAGTTAGTTATATTTTTAATAATGGCTCCCTTGGAACTTTTGTAGTAAGTTATATTTTTAATAGTGGCTTCCATTGGAACTTTGGTAGTAAGTTATATTTTAATAATGGCTTCCCTTGGAACTTTGGTAGTAAGTTATATTTTAATAATGGCTTCCCTTGGAACTTTGGCAGTAAGTTATATTTTTAATAATGGCTCCCTTGGAACTTTTGTAGTATGTTGTATTTTTAATAGTGGCTTCCATTGGAACTTTGGTAGTAAGTTATATTTTTACACTCAACGCATGTATCAAAATATTGGTTTTTCGCTTGATATTTACTTCCGAAGTTCTACTCCGAATGTGGGCATCTACACATTTTATTTTAGCTTGGTCACTTCCTTAGATACTTCTTTTATGTTTACTGTTTGTGAGTTATATTTTTCCTCCGATGGATGAGAAGAAAGCAGTGCTTGTTTACATTATTTCCGATAACTCGGGAGCTATAAGAGTAACCCGAGAGCTAATATCATTGTTAAACTATTAAAAATAGATTATAATTAAGTATATAAGTGCTGTAATAATCCAACAACAAAAAGTTATTTTTTATGTTTTGAAGCTAGTAATAGGTGGAAACTTTTGTTTACTGTTGCTACCGAGGTTTTAGTAATTATATACCACGGAATATAATAATAAATTATAGAATAAAGAGCAGTCTAGAGGTATAGTAATAGGACAGCTTAATAGAATTCCACTGTAATGATTTTTTATTTAATCGTTACAGCTTCAATTTATTTTGCACGTTTCGTTTTCTTTCTTTTGGATTCAAAACTACAGTGTTTACTGTTAATTAAATTAATTGTTATCTTAATGTTTCAATATTAAAAACAAAAGAAGAACGATTTGGTTCAGTGTTGTTTGCTCATGGCTTAAAACCTGTCCGAACTTTGTGTTCAGTGTTGTTTTGCTCATGGCTTAAAACGTGCTCTAACTTTAGAGTTCAGTGTTTATTTGTTCATGGCTTAAAACCTGTCTTAACTTTATTGCCTTTCCTGCCTTAAGACTCTAATGATGGTGTGATTATCAGTTGTTTGTGAAAAAAAAGTATTGGAAAGAATATTATCTTTAAATAAAAAACTTAAAGCTAATTCTTGATGTGCGTTCACAAAACAATACATTATAATTATGTTCAGAAATATGAGAATCTTCAATCTGTGTATTAGACACTAAACTTATTGATTTTCTGGATATATAATAAAAATAGAATTTATGCAATTTAATATTTTATCTAACTCATGAAAACTGTTTAAAGGAGTGTACCCATCGTTTTGTTTTGTCAACACGTCTACACTATAAATATTTACGAAGTTTCATCATACTTAATGGACTTGGTGAGGCCTAATGGTTAAAGTGTCAGGCTGCAGACTAGAGACACCAGAGTTTGAGAGGTGATATCACTGAACACGTCCTTTCAGCTATGGATGTATTATAACAATGACAGTCATGGCCCATTATTCGGTTCAAAGAATCGGAGGAAGTATTTGTAGTTCTAAATTAGAGACGAATATACCTGCTATTGGGAACTGTGACCAGACTACTTAATCCCCGTATAATTAAGGTGCAACTCAGACTTCAGTTGAAAAAGCTAATGATACATATAGCACTCAAAACTTCCTGGTGAGAACCATTTGAACTGCGTTTTTATTAAGGGTTAAAATACTTAAATTCGGAACCCTTTAAATGAAAGTGTTTTTATTTTTGAACGAGTTTTTCATAGACACTAAAAAGCAGTGATCCAAGATTTTTTCAACAGGATTGTATAGTGGATACATTATATATATTAAGTCGTCAAGGAATTAGTGTCGCTATTTTTAGATGGAAAAACCCGAAAAACTTATATATCAAACAAAAATTATTAAAT